AAACCCCCCGGCGCCAACCCCAATTTTTTTCCCAACTCCTACCACACACCTCTCTTTTTTTTTTCCCCCCCCCCCCCCCCCCCCCCCCAAAAACTTCCCTCTAAACACGAGCCCAGCCGACACTTCTTGCTAAACAGACAACAGACCATCCCAATGTTGAAAAAGAAAAAGTCCATACAATCCAAAATCTCGTTTCGTATCCGCCGTAAATCCGTAGCCCCGGGATATCAACATGCAAGTGTATATAATGTACATCCGTGGTAAAAAAGGGGGAGAGATAATAAACAATAACAACTAGAAAATAGACAAGAAAATCAAAATGAGAAAAATTGGTGCTAAAAATATATATGTTAGAAGTGAAAATGCGCGCCCAAAAAAAAAAAAAAAAAAAAAAAAGGTCGTAAACCTCTATGATCCCATATATTCCGTTTCCATCATATTCAAAAAGTTGAAAAGCTTGCCTCCTTTTGTTCATAGAATATACGAGAGTAAAACATCCGCATTAAAACATGATCCATTCCACTTCGACCCCAGGACCGCCGATGCACTTAGTCCAGTTGAAGCAGCCGCGCCTCATGCCCAGCTTGCTCCCGGGGGTCATGGGGGGTTCGTAGTATTCGCCAGCCCAGAGGCGCTCGAGGACCTCGATGGCGGCGAGGTTGTTCATGTAGCCGCTGCGAGACATGATCTCGCGGCACTTGTTGCGCACGATGTTCTGCTGCAGCTCGTTGACGCACTCGCTGCCGGCCACGAACAGCGGCCACAGCAGGAACTTCTCGGCGCTGCTGCCGGACTCGAGCGAGGTCGCGTAGTACACCACCTGGCTGACTAGGTTGCGGAAGTTGTTGTTGGTGGAGGGGAGGTTGGGGGAAGCTAGGCGCTCGGTGTAGAGGAGAGCCGCGTAGCGGAAAGCCTCGGAGAGAGAGTGCAGGTCGCGTACTTGGGCCTGAGTCGCCGAGTTGGGGAGGGATGCGGCGACTCGCTGGGTGTCGAATTCCCAGCTCTGGAGAGCTATACGAGCCTCTTTCCATTCGCGCCAGAAAATTGAGCGGTGCTCGTCGAATTGCGGTGAGGGGCAGAGCCCCGTGGACAGGATCTCTTCGTCGTCAAGCTGCGAAACGAAGCCATTGCCGTCGTAGCGATGATGATTTATGCTGAAGAAATCTCCAATTGGTGGGCTGGTTTGCTTGAATTGCTGTCCCATGGGGGAGCCTAGGGGAGGCGAAGTCGTTGGTGTTCCAACGTGAGCGTTGGGTGTTGATAGAACGCTCTGGACGTGATGATGATGTTGCGATAGGAGGTTCAAGCGACCGAGTTTGCTAATGGTCTTGAATAGCTCCCTGTCGCAGCCAACCAAGTTCTCGGCTCCCGGGGGTAGTAAGTTGGCATCCGAGGGGAGACCGTAGAAGGAATGGTTGAGTTGGGCCTCGCGGTCGTTGATGCTGGCGGAAATCGAGTCGAAGTAGGTGAAAATAGCCTCCATCCACGAGGACTCGCTAGACCCTTGGTAAGGGGCTGAACCTCGCATGCTGAGTATCTTCTTGACGCCGGCAAACTGCGTGTGGAACTTTGCGACTCCGGATTCGACCATGCGGTAGTGGCAGAGAAGTAGTATAGTAGCCAAGACGGAGTCGTGGCATGATTTCATGGGGTCGTTCAACTGTTCGTTTAAGAGATGAACAGCTAGGTTTCGATGTTGGTGCTCTTCGTTCAAGGAGTGGTGGTCCGACTGGGCTTCGGAAAGTCGCTCAGATCCGGTGCTGTCTGCTCTGGCACGTTGACCAAGACTTAGCCTTCTCTTCATCCTCAGGTTACAGGCGGCCAGAGCACAGATGGCATGTTGTAGGCTGCGGCTACCCGCTGCCAGTCGCAGGATGTGGTCTCGGAATGGATTGTTCGGGCCATCTACGAGAACCATGGAGGGGCACATTATGTTTTCGTAGTAGTCCATAAAGAAGGGCATCTTAGCAATGAGATCAGGGCTAATCTGTATCGGCTGGCTCTCATATGGAAAGGCTAAGTTGGCCGAGGCGGAGGGCGTCACATCATCATCTCTTGAAATCGCAGTTGCCCAGTGAGACCCGTCCGTGGAATGCGGGCTGGTACCGTAGGGCTCCATCTCAGGTACGCCTGCGAGGAGTTGTCAGTGAGCCGAGGCGTGGGATTTCGGAACGCGTGATCCTTACTCAGAGTGTCGCTATCCGCGACCAATCTATGGGCCATCTGGGGCCCATAGGAGTCCGGGTGAGAGCCGATGCTCGAACCGGGTTCCGACGGACCGTAGACTAAGCCAGGACACGAAGTTGGGGCTCGTTGGTCGATCATAATCGCAGAGGCGGGACTTTGAGGCATAGGCGAATTTTGGGCCGTGTAGTTCTCGTAGATGATGCTAGGGCTGTGAACGAAAGGCATTTCCTCTCTAGCATAAGAATGTCCCATAGCGTACTCGACGTCGTTTAGAGAGTCCACGGACGATGATAGCGAGTCGCCCATTATAGGGTAATGGCTCATTGAGGAACCAAGCTTCTGGAATCTGCGCTGGTCGTGAGAGCTCATGTTTCCGGCGTATGCTGGAAGGCCTCCCCAAGGCCCTTGGGAGGTTGATGGAGCTTCCCCGTGAGAAAATCTTGGGTATTCTTGATAAGATCCGTACGGTGTGGTAGGGACGGCGGCAGTATGATTTCCATCGTCTCGGTGAACCTTGCGTAGCCCCTCTTCCGTGCCGCTCCATCGGGGAGTGGTCGCTGCGGAGCTTGCTGCTCGTGACCGGCTCGTTGCCTTCTTCCCAACAGGCGCAACAGGCGGTGCCTTTGCTATGGGCAGCGAAAGTCCTCGCAGTTTGCCTCGACTCGCCACACCCACTCCCCAGGTCAGTTGAGTCTTGTAGCCGGAGCATTCATTCCCAAACTCGAGACATTGCGAGCAGTAGGGTCGCCTCCTATCGCACTTGGTATTTCTCTTGATGCAGGTGAAGCAATCATCCGCAGCTCCTCCGGCAGGGGCCCGTCTCCTCCGCTTGCGGGCAGCCTGGGCGTCCTTTGACGAATTGGACGATGGGGGAAGTGAGACTGTCATGTTAGAATATGCACTATATCGAAAGAGTGATGCAATATGGTTCTAGCAAGGACACATAAGGAAACCCGGGGCGGTGGTGGTCTCGACTCTGGTCTCAACGCGGTATAGAATCTCTTGACTATCAAGGAGGAGGAAGTTGACTGGCGTGGATAAATAGAGGTTAATATGGAAAAGATGTGATCGTCTGGGCAAGAGGTTATTGATATTGCATGAGAAGAAGTAGACGGGGTGGAGCGAATGGGACGACTGATATAAGTCGAGATGCGGTCTCTATATGAACGAGCGCATATACAAAGTACCACTTACAGAGCAGGGTATCTCATCGCGTTGTGCTCCCCACCTGCTCTAGGGAGGTACTGGGTAGGTACAAAGAGATGCAAGACCCTCATCTCTCCATGGTCAGCACCCTTGTCAAAAGGAGGCGATTAATGTGCATGTAGCAGTCGCAGAACGGCCAAACCGCAGAAGAGAAGCATGGGTGGGCCCGGCTTGGGGAGTTTGGGGGGCACAGGCAGTAGACAGACAACGTTGGAAGAGAGATGACGGGGAATCTGAACTTGACCCTCTGCTACATAGGTTAAGATGGGTGCGAGATCGAGGGGAGCGAATGAGGACTTAGACAGCCTAGGTGGGTCTTCCCACTTTCAAGATCAGCGGGATATACCTTCATTGTACCAGCCAGGTTGAGGGAGAACGGCGACAGGGGTAGGGGGGGGTGCAAAAGTGACCCCTGTAAGACCCCCCAGTACACTACACTACACTACATACATGCAGAGACGGGGGTGAAGGAGCATCATTCGCAGGTAAGGTACTTTGTAGCTGGTGCCATTCTTTAGACTACTGTAGGAACAAGGGTAAACTATGAGCGGCGAGTCCTAACGACATCAGGCCTAGCAAGAGTTATGGTGAGTCCGGGGGGGGCAGGGAAGGGAGAAAGATGAGCTGCACTAGCACTACTTTCAGGTCGTGTCTCTCTCTATTTTGCTTGTGATTAAAGCCTTTTTTCGAGGTTCTTCCAAGTATGTGCACCTAGATTTTCAATAGTTACCTACGTAGTAAAGCCGAATGTCAGCTCGGCTAGTGAAGGGTTTCGTCTACTCGTATGCAAAGGGAGGACCGGACGAAGTGGGCAAGAGGATGACGGAGAATGGCTGAACTTTGCAGATACCGTAGTTATTGATTGTGCCACCGATGAATCGAACAGGAACTAGGGGGGGAGGGAGATAGACCTCGGTAGGCCTATAGTTGGTCTGTAGTAGGCTTGTGGGATGTGGGCTACGAGATACATACTGGCTGGCTGGCTGTCTTGTTGGTACAGGTAAGGCAATGGATGAGTGGGATACGATGGGAAACAGACATGACAGACGGAAATGCGCGAGGAGCTGTGAGACGCCATCATTCGATTTTCGACTCTTGGCTTTGCGCTTTGTGGGTAAATTAGCCCTCGTTTCTCTAAAGAAAAAGGAATCTTGCATCCTAAACTCTTTTTTCTGTAAGCTTAAGTTATTATTAGTTTTTTAGTTAGATAGAAGGGGGCCTTGCGCCGCTTCCCGCTATATTGGGGCATTACAGATGATACCACTTACAGTGGACTTGGAAGAGAATTCCATTCAGTAAATTCCAACGTAATGGCCCATCGTAACTCGTCTCAGTGGGGGATACGTTACAGGGCTTACACGGACATGCCCTGACATGCCTTGACATGCCTTGACATGCCCCCCCGACGTGGTGACCGTGATGGCGTGCAGTTTTGTGCTAACATTAGAAAGCCCAGGTTGTTACCTACCTAGGTACGGAAGGATTTTCGATCGGACGTGCCTTGTTACCGTCCCATCTCTTCCCCAAGAACGCTGTGATCAGGGAACCCACATTTACCTACATCGCATTAACATCGACTACTAATTGCACGCGGAATGATGTTCTTTTGCTTGCCGGGGCTTTAATTACGTAGTGGGCATAACCCGTGCAACTTACAACTATGGATCATTATATCGATTTATTGTGTACATAAAAGTTGGCCATCCCTGAAGACAAAAGTTGCTACCGAGGATTTCGGGGCGGGGAGTTTCAGGTGAGAGAGGCAAAGCCACTGCAAAATACATGTGCTATAGTTAACCATTCTAGTGCAGCTATTCTAATACAGCCGTTCTAGTACAGCCATTCTAGTACAGGGCTCAAATGTCTATTAGCGGAAGACCCGCCGCAAGCCCCTCCGCTTCCTCTGCTTCGCTCGCAACATGTCTAAATCCGGCCGGCCCATACTATGTAAGACGGCGCTTCCAAATTATTCTCGATAATATCTAATATTATACTTTGAGATGTTTTCGGGCTAGTAGATAGTTGTCTCGACTCTTCGCAAATGCTTCTACATAGTGCGTGGGCCATGGCCAACAAGCTTTACAAGTCTTGGCATGCTCATGGGTTGCTTACTGTATGTAACCCATGGAAACAGGTCAGGTAATGTGACAACTCCAAATTCTCAGTAATTCGAGCTACCTATGCGACCTCCAGTCTCAGATGACGATGTTTAGATGTTTAGAAGTTTATTACCAAGCCATTTCCTTACCTAACGTTCAACTACATATGTAGGTTTTCTAAAGATCTACCGGGGTCCCCCTCGATCGCATATTTAATGTGCCTTAGGCAGGTCTACATGTAGGCACCCAAGTAAGCTTTTAGGTTAATCTGGGTCCTAGTATGGCTACCTACCTATGTAAATCACCGCGGGTTGATTACCTATGTATTGTTATGTTACACGTGTAACGTCGAGTCGCTTCTTCTTGCTCTGTAACTCGCTCTGCCCCTTTTCGAAGGGGTAACATACAGCAGTTCGATCTTCAGGTTGCGGTTATTAGAGAGGCGGGTTTCAAAGCGGGAAACTCGTGCCGGACTAGAGACCACACAAGACGGTTATATGGGTTGCTTTATAGTTGGGCAGAATTAAATTTGAGTAATAAACGAGCGAACGAACCAAAACTTCCTATTACTATAACAAGTGACCCCCTCGCTTGGGACCACTACTTTCTCAAGTTCATGTATTTGATAATGCTAGGATGTGGGTTCCTGAACGAATCCGAACCCTTTTTTTTGTAAGACACACCCAAGACGGTGGAAGATGTCATTTGGTAAAGACTGTCTAGCAATTATCCTTAGCTTCTCGCCTGACCTCTCAAGTGGCAGAGTTGATTGCGTGTGAACATGACTTTACTATAAACCTGTGTCCTGTTAATTTAAAAGACAGTCCTGGAGAGATTCATATTGGTCGTCGGGGGAAGATGGCCTTTATTAAAGTCAGACTAAGGACAAGGCTGCAGCGCTACTGCACATGATAGGTAGTAGACCACCTCGAGGACCATCATGTGTAAGCTATAACGATAATCCGAGGTGTGTAGTTCATTTTCGTGTAATCCCAGACAGGTGGCCGAAAATTAATCAAAAATACAGCTATGTGCGACATACGGGGTGTGGTCTAGGATGACGAGAGACAGGGCAAGCCTTGAAGCGCTAGACTCGCGATCGTACTATTATTCAGGTATAGTCTAATGGGTCTGTAATTCTCGTACTACGCATAGGTAACTATAACAGAACCTTGTCATGTTGATAATGTTCGCCATAGCGGACAATCATCACGAGATATTATAATTATCCTTTGCCCAGGAACATTGCCCAGCATGACTTGCTCCAACCATGTATCTACCACACATTCTATCTCGATGCATCTCAATGCGGCCACGACTTCGCGAAAGCGAGGGAATATGTCAAGAAGATCGAGCAGCTAGACTACCGATCTAATGTCGTCACGTAATAGGAAACCTAAAGCCAAGAGATGATACCTGCAAGACTTAATGCCCTCTTCTGAAGCTATTCATCGTCATGTCCTGCCAGTCGGTACACGAGTGCGACGGTAACAATATAGGCGGGAATTGATGATCTATGTGGTTAGGTGGTTTCCTTAGAGATGGAGAATATTAGCCTTCTTTATGTATGCGACTGCGGGTTGCGCTCGGGTTGGTTAGCCTCGACTTTAAACTATTGGTCGTGTTGTATAAGTCGGCGGAGACGTTGTAGTTTAACACGACGCCGAGACTTGGGTATGGATCTTTTCTACGACGGCTTCTCTCTCTCTTGTTTCTATCAAGCTTCTATCGTTATCTCGAAACCCCCGTCATTTTGTTCTTTGCAGCTCCCTCTTTCGGCATGCACCGATTGACTTTGTTGAGGTGACTTTCGTGTCTACACTACTAGCTGGACATACGCGTACAGACGTCATTAGATCGATGCCAATTTCTTGTGGGAGAGGTTTGCTTTACTGTAAGGTATATGCAGCATTCGATCATATCCATAAGCATATCGACATCGCCATCGTAGCGCTGCCGTCTTGTGAACCGTTCGAGGGATCGGAAGGGATCGGGCCTAAATGCCGTTTGGCAGATTTTAAGGTTGCCAAAGATTTGCGAGCTTAGGGTAGTGAAGAGACAAGGGGGTGGAGGATCTTCAAGATCCTCGGTATAAATGCCTACCTTAAAACCTATACGGACTTAGCTTGTTTGTTGCCAGACCTATCGTGGGGATCAAACAAGGAACTATTCTTCAAACTACCAAAAACTAATATCCTTTGCGACCCGAATAATGCAATCTCATTCATCACGAGCTTACTGTGGACATGTTTGCGCCAGGTCTACCAATTCCCTGGTATCTGTGTACACTACATACATAACGACTAAGAGGCCACAACCTATCTGCCCCACGGATGATGCTGGTACTAGTGTCACTCTTGGCATAAGAAATCAATGGCTCTCTTCTTATCAGTCGTACGGAAGAAGCATCGAACTCTTCAGTACCCTTAAAAAGGACGGGCACTTGACTACCTCCTAACCTCTACGGAGGGGCTTGGCATATATGCAGCCACCTAAAATCCATATTGGTTTAAATCTTGATTCAAGCTCAAGTATTACCTGAAAGTTAAGGGTAATGGAAAAGAAGACCAACACTATACTATA